TTATGTGCTTCTGTTTTTTAATTCAGGAGATTATAAAAAATCCCTCATTTTATGGGAAGACCCTCTTGATTCAAGAGAAAATTCTGTTTTTGAAAAAAATGGCTGCTTATTAACTATTTGTTAATCAATCTAAAAGAGAATTCAACTTGAGATTAATTAGTTATCAATAACTTGTATCCTTAAGGACTTAACTTAATTTATATCTACTCATATTCATGTAATTAAGTGTTTTAATGATTTGGCCGATTAATCGATTAATCGAAAAAATAATCAACAAATTATTAAAATAATAGTTAGTTGCAGCCCTATACTTAATCATTAAGCAGCACTAACAGCAGTAATCACACAGTGGTAAAAATATTAATCGGTGACATTTCTGATTAATTGCATGATATGATTTTGCACAAGCTTTATCTAGTGATCAACAGACTTAAGCAAGTTTTTTTTGGACTGTGAGAGAAAACCGGAGTATCTGATCAAAACCCATGCATACACAGGGAGAATATGTCAACTTTTCTAGTTGCTTTTCTAGTTTGCTTTTGAAACAAAAAAATTAAAAACGCATAATGATTTGTTTTATTCAGGAACAAAAGTGCCATTACTTTTGCAACCTAAATGATTCTTTATTGATATAGCAGCTATAGTACCAAATAAAATGTTTATTTGTATTATTAGAATCTATTATTTTTATTATTATTATTAAAACTAAAATTTTGTTTCTGGGTTTTTTAAAAGGCATTTGAAACATGAACAAAACATGGAAAAGGAACAGAAAATTTTGCAGTTTTAAAACTGCAAAATTATTACTATTTCAAGCAATTTAAAAACAGATTTCAGCAAGTTAAGCAGGTAAGAAATTGAGGTGTTTACAGTGAGTTAAAAAAGTTCAAATGAATGAATTTATCTAACATTAAATATGGCAACAATTCTAGTTTATAAAAACAGAAACAAGCAACTGATTGCTGTGAACTCTTGGCTTTGAGTCTCATTAAGGGATATCATTTTTTCTGTATTTACAAATAGGTTCAGAATATAACACACCTGTTTCATGTCTTGATTTCCAAATTTTTGTACTCATGGCAGAGCCTGAATTATCACATGCTGAAGTGGTTTTAAGTTTATTATTGTATTTGTGAGCTTTCATTAAAATCTGCTGTTTATTTTATCCATTTCAACTTCAGACAAACTGTCCCAAGTCACAATAAGTAAGGGTATTTAAATTCTGATAATTAAGATAGTAACTTCAGTGTTTCCCCTACCATTATTTAACACTACACTGATACAGATTAACATAAAATAAATCATGTTTTGTAATTAAATGTCTCCGTTTCCTGCTATAAAAAATCCTCCATCCATTCTGTCCTTGTTCCTAATCAGGGTCAGTGTAGGGCTGGAACCTGTCCTTGCTGCCTTTGAGTGAAGAGACACCTGGACAGGTCTCCAGTCTCCATCAGGGACACAAAAGAGACAAACAACCATCCACAGTCTGAAACCTTCTGGAGCTTTTCTGTGTGACTCTAGATGTGACAAATTGAGAACTATGGACCCAGATCCATCCGCTGCTGCACAGAGTTCTAATCACTTTATGTCAATAAATAAATAAATAAATAAATAAATAAATATCATGAGGACTCCTTAACTTTAGGATGTAGTTAGGCAATTAAATATTCACAATGTAAATTTATTACTATAATTGAAGGTGAGTGTTGCGTGTCTGGCATATTTTTTTCTTCCTCCTCTTTCTCTTCTCTATTTTCAGGTTCAGCTTGCAGGCTGGAGCCAATTTGGATCTTTAAAGGCTGATGGGATGGAAGAGTTTCAAACAGACCAACCAGGACTCCACCACACCCTACTTAAGAAGCTCATCTGGAGGTCTGGGCTGGCTTCTTCTCCTCCCTGCTGCAGCTACTACTGTTGATTGCCCGGTGCACCTGTGCTGCTGCTGCTCCTCCTGTGGAACCTGCTCTGTTGTTTAAAGGTTTGTGGTGGGAGTTAAGAGGACTAGGTAAGTTTGGGGTACCCTGTACATTTTTCATCACGTAGCTAACTTTATGTTAAAAACACTAGGTAAGTAGGTTGGTGCCACCCATGTAATGTTTTGGTGAGACCTTTTTTTAGAGAAGTTTATCAGGGTGTTTTTCTTTCTTTGTTTTCTATGTAGACCAGATTGTAGACAGGCCCTGTTTTGTTTTGCTTGTTTCTTTTGTTTGGCACCACACCTAATGGTCCCTTTCTCCCCCACAGTGGTACAGCCTTTTGGAGCAGAGTAAAAAAAATAAAACTTTTTATACACCTTTGCAGTGACTCTTGTCTATTTATTGTGGTTGTCGTGTTGCTGCTCTTTGTTTAAAGGAAGGGGTCGTAACAGTGAGTAATGTAAAATTATGTTTTTATAAAACAAATACCACCCCACCCAAAAAAAAGACCAATTTCTTAGGGGAAACACTGAAGTTAAAGGAAAATGTTCTTCATTCCAAATGAAGACCAACATTATGCTCTACCTCTAAGGCATAAACACCTGAATTTCAATAAATTCGTGTGGGAGGAATATGGAACAACTTGATAAGAACAGGTGGCCTGCAGCAGACCTTGGTGATATCTCCTTTATAAAACACGAGGACACACAGATGCAAAACAAATTCATAAACTGAGTCCAGTCCAACTGTAGGCAGGGAAGCACAAGAACTGGGCCTGTTTTTTTTTTTGAGAACTGCTGATACAAATACACAAAAACACACCACGTCATTCATGTACGTACAAACAGGCGTGCACACACAATGTAATGCCCAAGGAGTAACGTACAAACACAAACAGGCCTAAAGCCTCATCAAAGGCTTCACTCTGGTCTCTATTCATGGTCTGTGGTTCCTATAGCAACCAGCTTGCAGGGAGAAGCTCTTTAGAGCTCCCTATCTGGGCTGCTTCCCCTGAAGAGTGATGCAGATCCCATTTCCATCTTCTTACGCCATTGACTGATGGCAGAATACAAATAAAACAAAGAGAAACACTGGCTGACTGACAATTAGCCAAGCTTTGAAAGACGAGGGGCCGGCTCATTAGCTCAGACACTGAAGGAGCCTGAATGTCCACGCTCAGGGCCTATCACCTAAATCCTTTGGTTTTACTTCACTTATAACCATAGAAACCACATCATCGCAGCTTATCACACCAAAGGAAGAGGGATATACAATCATTTACTGCACAGAATATCATTTCCATTCAGCGGCCAAGGCTGGACTGTGGGAGAACCTGAACATTTTACATCATATTGATCCTGATGGTCTGGATCAACAATTACAGCTGGTTGTGACACTGTGTAAAATGTACATAATAACAAAACAATCATGTGCAAAACAAATGTAATCAATATTTAAATAATATGGAAAAGTGTTGTTTTTGTTTTGACCACAGCAAGCTCAGGATTACGAGAGCAATCACTGATCACCGAGCTAACTCAGCCTCACAATGGAACATAGTAAAGAGATCAAAATGTTCAAACTATGAACTTTTCCAGGTCTTAGAATTTATCGTTAGCAACACTAACTCATAAAAAAAAGTTAGGCCAGTGGCAACAAATGCTTGTAAAAGTAAGTGCTACAAATAACATAGAGCTGGACGTGCAGTTTGCAATTAAACTGGTTAATTTTTAGTAGGGATGTCCTGATCCAGATTTTGTGGCTCCCGATTCAATCTGATTCTTTTAATGATTAGTCTTTCCGATACCGATCTGATAGCTTTATTTTTTTATTTCTTTCCAAGTGACAAGGTTGGTAGTATTAAAGTGAGCCCTGCTGTTCCCACCACGGGAAACATCCAGTTTGCAGATTTTGCAAGATGCAGTTTCAGCATCGTTGTTTTCCATTGAAAAGTGCTCCCACAGCATGGACATGGTTGCATACTCAGGGGTAGACATAAGGATATTGACAAAACCTGGGTGTCCGCAAAACATTTTGGTCGTCCAAAAGAACCTCAAGAAAAATGTAATTTAACAAGTATATTGTTCTGTAAACAAAGTTTATTATATATAATTGTTCCTCATTCTCTTCTTTGAAATAGAGTATTTAAGGCTCAAGAAGTAAAGCAGCAAAAATGTTGCTAATAAAATCTAGAGGTTACCCAAAATTCATAAACTTCTTTCTGCTCATAGGTCAAACATTTTCACTTAAATAGGAATATACTGTGTACATGACCTTATTAAAAGTTACAGTTTAGTGTTCTGTTTGGCTTTTTCAAGTTTTTTCTTCCTTTCATTTTTACAAATGACGAACACCCGCGGCAGAGAACTTTAATCAAGGTATTTTTTTCTTGGTTGTCCACCGGACAACCAGGAGACAGGATCTGGTTGTCCGAAATGAAAATAAGTTGTCTCGGACAACCTAAACAATGGTTATGTCTACCCTTGATACTTTTTTTGCATCTTGACTTCTTAACGGCAGTTGTAAAGCATGATGATGCTGAAAACTGGATCGGCCTGATCACATGATTAAATCCCATTCTACCCGATTTTCAAAAAATGGCCATATCTGCCACCGATACCGATACTGAGTTTCTGATCGGGACATCCCTAATTTTTAGCAGGTCGGTAAGAGGATTGGGTATAAAAAGAACATTTTAAGCTAAATTTCTCAGAAGTATGACACGGACATACTACATCTTTTTACAGTTCATCAATGCAGAAAAGTATAAACAGATTTCAGAACACCACATAACCCAATCCAGAAAAAAAAAAGTCCATTAAAGACAACCCAGGACTGTTGAACAGCAAGAATCCTACATCAGACAAGAATGTTTACAGACTAAAGGGAAAAGAAGAGGGGGTGACTTACAGTGGGAAACATGAACTTTTTATTGCAATTAATTTTTCCCATAAATTGGTGCAATTTTAGTTTCAAATTTGCATATGTTTACTATGTTCCATTGTGAATAAAATACAGGGTATAAGAATTGTAAAAGTTTGCAGTCTGTTTTTTTAAATTTTTTTTTTCATTTTACACAACTTTTTCAGAATCTGATTTGTAAAATTTTAGTTTTTAAAAAAGTCTCACCTGTATCAGAGACGGTCTGGTTACAGCCTCCATCGCCGCTTGAATGTGTTATCACCATGTTGGTCCGGCTCATACTGTGGAGCTGTGAAGGGTGGGGGCCAGGATGTGACAGTGGTGGGGGATTAGTGTTGGTGCGTACCAGGGGCATGCTGTCAGGTCCTACAGGTCCACCGCCTGGTCCCATCGGGCCACAGTTGTTCATCTGCATCTGAGCCATCATGTCAGGGAACTGGCTGGTGCGGGACACCAAATAGTCCATGCTCTGACAGTGCTGCATGGCCTCTCCTGGACCCTGCAGCCTCTGCTGAACCAGGATGTTCTGTTGAGGGAGCGTGCCTGTGTTGTCATTGTAATGAAGCTGTGCTGGAGTTCCAGGGTTAGAGTTAAGTCCAGGACGGTGGCTAGTTCCAGCCAGGTTATGGGAGCTCTGGCAGCTCATGGACTGAAGAAGCTGTGCCATGGAGGTGTTTGGGTGCAGGTTTCCAATTCGTCCCACTTTTCTCAGCTGCTCGGTGGCACTGGGACCCTGCATGTGAGGGCCCCCCAAGCCTGGTTTGCTAAGCATGCTAAAGACCATAGTGTTGTTGCTGTCGTGGTTAACGGTGCTGCCAGAGGACTGTTTACGTTTACGTGCGGGGTCCCTCTGCTGGGCCATGAGCTTGTCTCGAAGTGCTGCGCGGCCGCTCTGACCCTCGGGACTGTTCAGCAGCATGGTGGAGTGTGGCGGGAGCATGGGGTTTAAAGTGCTGTGTCCCTCCATGCCTCGAGGGCCACTTATGGAGCCCGGGTGCCCAACACTCCCAGCATTACCTCCACCAGCTGCCCCCATGCCGGACACTCCAACCCCACCAGCAGCCACGCCGGCAGGGCTGCTGCCAGCAGTGCTGAGTTTGTTTTGATTTGCTAGCTGTGCTTTGGCTGCGGCTGAGAGGAGGCTGCTGGCAGGGAAGGAAGCGGCATTTTGTTGGTTGAGGATCTGGTTCAGGGGCATCCCAAGGAGTCCAGAGTGGCCCTTCTGGGAAGCACTGGAAGTCGGCAGAGAGGACGAGGAGGAAGAGGTGGGTGAATATAAGGGGTTGCTGTGTTGATGGGTGTTGACTGAGTTTCCCATTCCAGGCAGCAGCTGGGATTCTTTGTACTGGTGGAGCGGGTCCGTTTTGTTGGTGGAAGGGCTAGAGGGCATGGCTGGCCTGGGAGACCCCATAGCCGACCTGGGAGACCGAGGGGGGATCTTCATGGTGCCACATTGGGTTTGATGCCCAGAAGGGGCAGCAAAGTTTCCGTGGTCAGAGGAGGTGGAGGACGAACGTGAGCGATGAGGTGAGGCCTCCATTCTTCCAAGCACAGGGCCGGTCATGTGAACAGGGGATGTGACAGGGGAAGGGGACATGGAGGACGCAGGACCTACCTGCTGAGTCCTTTGCACATTACCACCATGCCCCACAGGTCCAGGCTTCACTGTGGGTAAAGGTAAGTTGCTTGGCAAGGGAACAATGGCAGGAGGGGGTATGTTTACATTCATCATTGGTACCTGAGTGTGGATGTTGGGCTGGAAGTTGGAAGGGTTAGGGCCACTGTTGGGGGGCTGGCTGACCAGTTTGCTAGGGATGGGGTCAAGGATGCCTAAGGGGTCCTTTTCAGAGGTCATCTGCCTTTTCTGAAGAGCACAGGGTGGTGGTATAGGATGCACAGGGGGCTGAAGTTTATGGTGAAATCCTGCACGAGGCAAATCCATACCAGGAGGGAAGTTCCCCCGCGGCAGGTTCATGTTCATGACAGGGCTTTTGGCAGTGGCCGTAGGGGAAAGGGGTGTGCTAGTCCTTCCTGTCATGGCGCAGGATGGTTGGCCTGCAGGAGAAATGTGGAGCACAACACTTGGTGGAGACAGAGGTGTCCGGGTGTTTCCATGGATGGAGGCAGAGCCAGGACTACCAGCTCCTGTAAATCCACAAGGATTGGTCCTTTGAAAACCCTCAGGGCTGCCCAGAGTGTCCGCACTGGGCGACTGAGAGCCATCTCCATATAGTTTAGCACCAGAGGGAGATGGACTCAACATGCCTCCATACACGGCCCGGTTGGGGGATTTAGTTCCAGGATCCCCGCTGCCCAGCCTTTGTGTTCTGGGGTATCCGGAGTAGACCTCAGGCTGTTGAGCTCCACCCACTTCCTGCAGTGGATACAACCTCTGCTGCTGTGGTCCGGCTGCCATCATCATCTTGAATGGATTTTTGCACTCGGGGCCAACAATACTGGGCAGACCTTCGTGGGGTTTAGTCCTTATTGCTCGTTGAGTTGTAGAATGCACAGCAGCCACAGACGGTTTACCTGAAGAAAAATAAAATCATGAATTTATTCAAATAAAAACACATTGAATATTAGATTATCCAAAACCAACCAACACAACCTAAAATAGGGTTTCCCAAACCTTTCAGCTTTTGACCCACAAAATAAAATCAGCAGAGACCTGTGCCCCCAGCTGTTGTCGGTTGATAAACATTGTTTTCACGTCAAATAAACAAGAGCACATTAACATTTTTATTACATTATTTTTGTCCATTTTAACAACACTAATATTATTTTGTAACAACAAAAGCAAAAAATGCTGTTAGTCATTTTTTAGTATAATTAATTCATAAAATATTTTCAGGACCCCAACTTTAGGAACTACTGACCTGAATCATAACCTCCTTTGCCAGATCAAAAAACACCTTGATATATATGCTTAATGATGTCATTGCATTCAGGTGCTGCCATTAAATAAAACTTACTGTAACAGTTAATGTGGTTTATAAATTAAATCGTACCTCCTCCTGAACTGGTCAGCGACAGAGGCGGGTGTGTCTCCATGCTCTTGTGCAGCGTGGCCACAGCCAGAAGCTTCCTCTTGTGAATGCAGAGTTTGGTCACGTCTTCGTCTGCTTTCACATCCTCCGCCGTCCTCTGTTTGACAGCTGCTCCGGGGTCGAAGTTGAACACCTAATGACAAAGAACCACAGGAAATTTAACATACAAAACTGGAAAATATGATTGTGAGAAACATTCTTGTCTTGCTGATTTATGTTTCCTTTAAATGCAAGTACATTAAAAAAATCCTTAAAAGGAACATATTTCACATACAATACCCAATGATAATACCCAATAATAATAACAATAATAATAATTGTTCACTGTTTTTGTTCCTGTACTGGACTTGGTGACTGAGACTGAAAAAAACTCTAAAAATTAATCAGGTGTAGATGTTCATCCACTGATTACTTTGAGAGTTTCATGAAACTTCATTCAGTGGCTCATTTTTTCCCAACAGAAATACAAAAGCTTTGCACACACACACACACACACACACACACAGGCAAAAATGTATACAAACAGTGGTCCACTTTTGTTTTCCACAAAACTTCTCCACGATTAATAAAAAAGTACTGTACTTTAACAGTAGTAAAGATGACATTTGGGGAAATAAGGCACTTTATGAGATTAAAAACTGAAATAAACTGTGGCGATGAATTCCAACAAAAAAGCAGTTTATCACTATGACAAACAGAGGACTTTTAAAAGTGGTCTGAGAATAAGGACGGCGTGGCAGCTTCATGTTGCCATATGATCATCCTTGAGTACGTAATTTACAGCCAAGTCCAACGGCACATGATATTACTCTAACACTCATGTCCTGGGGAAGTCTAAATGGTGCAGACTGTGAGATATATGGACTAAGTCGCAGATAAGTGAGAGTCGGACTCCTCTGAGCACCTTTGGAGTAATATCCTGAATCCTGTGATTTAAACATCAATCTGAGGGGCTCATAAAGGAGCAGATGGAAGTTTGCTAGATTAAACCTCTCCTTATTAAAAGCCCACAAACTCAAAGTTTACAAGAAAATAGTTTGAGCCTATAAATACTGAGCACTGGGGGAGAAATCAGAAATAATAAAGATAAAACTAACATTTCTTTTGAACAACATGTCAGAGATTATTTTGAATTTGTATCTTCCCAGCATGTGGAACAAAACAGTGAGCCATGCTGAGCAGTTTGAAGGCTCTCCTTGAAATTTTCATAGGTTTTTGCAGCATCAAAACTGGCCACTATGAGGATTCATTGTATATAAACATGATTAAAAATACCAACGGGCATGAAGAATTTCAAGCTCTTTGAAGTATGTGTCAAGATGACCAGAGTGACATTTTCATCTTCAAAATACAATTTAAACAACAAAAAAGCACAACAATTGTTCCTCCTTTCAATTATACTTTCTTTTCAATAAAACATACCTTTCCATACCAAGCTTGTTTAGGTTCAATTGTTTATCTTTTTATTCTCCCATTGCTAAAAGGCAAAAGCGGATGATATTTTTGCCCATGTTTGCAATGTGCATTGTTCATGTATCTGTCACCAAAATATCACATAAACCAGTACAAAGAGCTTAATGCAGCTTACAGAAAGTAGTTTTTAGATGTACATTCACAAATTACTTTTTTGAGACAATCTGATTTAAGACAGCCCCAGCAAGCTGACTTTAAAGAACAGAAAAATTGCAATAACACAATTTTAAAGATAATGATCTAAGATTTGATACATTACTAGCTAAGAGAGGCATCCATAACACAAAACAGATCATGCAAATGTGGGTATGTGGCCTCATGTTTCCTTTTATTGTGTTTAATGTTTTTCTTTTTGTTTTGTATTGCATGCTAAGTTTGAAGTGTTTATGTATATTTAGTAGGGTTAAATTTTTGGTTAGTTTTGTTGCATGTTTTTCTGATTTTGTTTTGCTTTGAGGTGACGCTACCACTCCCACTTGGAGACGCCCACAGCAGCGGCGCAGGTGTTTTCAATTAGCTTAGCAGTGTGCAGAGGGACAAGGACGCCTAAAAGAGGCAGTTGGAACTTTCTTTCGAGAGAGACGAGTCGGAGCGAGGCAGACTGCGGGTGCAGAAGCAGCAGGGCGGCGAGGACTGAATGACTGAGGGACTGGGTGCCGCAGAGGTTCATTCCCCCTGGTCGCTGTCGAGGAACGCACAACCGGCATTGGAGTACGGGGTTTCAGACCGCCGTCGGGATTTGCTGTGGCCGTGGAGGATCGGTCGGCGGCGACAGAGTGACTGAGCTCGGAAAGGACCGCGCCCCTCCCTTGGGCCAGCTAAGAACATTTTTTTATACAGGCTTGTCCTCGATTCTGTTGCACCTTTATCGCCTTGGAGCATTTTTCTTTCTTTTTTGACTTATTGTTTTGCTCCAAATAAATCATTGTTAAATTTTTATTAACTGACTCGTCTATTGAAGCTCTGCTCACAGTTCCTGCATTTTTTTTAATTTGCCACTCGGGTCCCACACAAAACTACATTTCTAAGATTTGATCAAAACAGCTAAAACTCCAATTATTTCATAAAATAAGATGATCTTAATTGAAAACTGTGGCAGGAATATTAGGTCTGCAATTGTAAGTATTGGTCAACTTAAACTGCACATTAAGTGTTATAATTACTCAACTGAATTTACAATTACAATTTCAGAACCATAATTCACAACTGTTAAAGTTAAATGAATCAGAACACTAGCTAAATTTTGCAAAAGGCTAACTGAACGAAAAGGTTAGTTAAAAGCAATAGCAGTAAAAGTCTAGCTGAAAGTATGTAATGGCTTGCTAGAAGCTAAACACAGCAAAGGGCTGACTAAAAGCTAAAAATAGCAAAAAGCTAGCTAAAGGATCCAAGGCTGTGTCCAAAACGACAGGCCGGGTCCTCCGGAGGACCCAGACTCCCCGGTCGCGGCGGGCCGGGTCCTTGGTAGACCGGGAAGACCGGAAAAAAAGAGGCTGTGAATTTGGATGGTCTAGCCTCCCCTCCTTACCCTGGCGTACATCATGTCACCTAGCAACTGTGACGACGCTAAACAAGCAAACTTAAATCAAAACTAGAAAAATATCAATATATTAGCATTATTAATATCACAAAACTATAAAATTAACTTAAAAGTATTATTTGAAGAACTAATTGACCCGCTGTAGGTTCATGTTTATTACGCGTTTTTTATGACGAAAAAATAATATGTAAAAACATGTCCATACAAATGATAAAAGTATTAGAATTACAACCATTAATTTAAAAAAAATTTTTTTATCACATTTTTATTTAAAATGTATTCTTTTCTCTCGCTTCGTCCGCCATTACTAGCATAAAAAAATCTCCGGTCGGGCCGCAATGCATTATGGGATACGCTGGGCCGGGAAGGATCCATCGGACCTGTCCTTCGATTCGGGCCAAAGGAAGGACGTATTTTTCGGCCGCATCGGAGGAGTCTTCGGTTTTGGACGTCCTTCGTCGCGGCGCTGTGACGTATGCGGCCGACGAATTCGACCTTCAGAGGACCCGTCCTGCCGTTTTGGGCACAGCCCATTTGTTTCAGCTGTTCCCTCTTCACAGGTTGACACAGCAAATAATCCTCCTGTCCTCACTCCAGCTACCTCCATGTCCTCTCTAACAGCATCTGTATAAAAGCCAAGCTAAAGCTAAAAGGTAGTAATAGGCTAGACAGAAGCTGGATGTTGCATAACAGTAGCTTTAAGCTAATAGTAATAATAATAATAATAATAATAATAATAATAATAATAATAATAATAATAATAATAATAATAATAATAATAATAATAATAATAAGTCGATGTAAATAACTATTTGGAATCAACACTGTCTGGTAGCAACACAACTCACACACCACAGAAAAGATAGTAATGAAACATTTAGAAAGGAATCCATGGATGTACATCTACAACTGATAAACATTTGTAATCAATCCAATTCAAGATGGCCACAAGATGGCTAATTGACCTTACCCAACACAAAATGACTACATTTTAGTCAGTTTTACAGATACTAAAGTTTAATGTGGTAGAAGCAGACAGTTGTTCACTATGTAATCTTTGAGTGTGACATCCTGCAATAGTGCTTGAGACTGCACAGTTAGTTGTCTGAAACAGCTATAATGTTATCACTTATAAAATGATTCAAGTTTAAAACTGGCATAATAGGCAGTGGATGTCTGGGCGATATGGTTTTATTCAACAAATGCCTCATCGTTTAAATCCTACCATTCTCAAAGTCTATTGAGGACAGAAACCTTACCTTGTGAAGGATGAGTGGGCACTCCAGACCACATTTGCACGTTCCATCTGTCAGCAGGTAGGTTTTCACCTGCTCCAAACTGGACAGCACAGAGCCACTGGGACTGCACACAGGAGACAACAAAGTAGGCAGACGTTCCACACCATGAACACTAGTTATGTGGTGTTTGATACACAGTTTTAAAATCCAGTTTGTTTTGAGTTCTTTTTAAAAGGCAACTGCAGCACACTGGGGCGGATATGCTAATGATGCACCAGTGGCTCAAAAGTTGATCATTCCACATCAGACTTCACTTGAAATGTTATGAATTAAAACCAGAATTAATGTTGAATTTTAGGAACAAAACAAAAATAAGTACCTGAATAGAGCTAAATTTGCTTCTTTTTCTTACCCAGTACAGTACATGACTTTATGACTGAAACTGCAGTAGGGCTAAAAGTAAATTATGTTGAAGAGGTCAGAGCGCGGCAAAGCTGAAAAACAACAAGGCAATCCAGGTCTAATAGGATGGAAGAGACATGAAAAATACAGCTGTTAAATCACTCCATGTGGCACCAGTGAAAGAAGAACAGCGTGTACTTCTGGTCATTTTTATCATACATATACAATGGCACACTGACAAAACACCAAATGGCTGAATCATCACACTGCAATGAATTTTAAAATTTACTGCTAGGATCCACAGCTGCTCATCTCTGATGCAAGCACACACTATAAATGTAAAAGAACATCAACAAATACAAAGTGCACTATTACAGCATCAGGCCACAGTCACAGAAGAAGGCAGGATCCTTTCCAACACTCAACATAAATCCGACACCAACCAGAAGCTTTGATTCATTGTGGCTGGTCATTTCATAAAATACACATTAATAAATTAATCAATTTGTGTGGCACCAGCTGAATGAACAGTTAATCTTGCATTTTCAAACAGTAGGGCTGCAGCTATGTTTAAATACATATCATGTTTGAGAGGTTTCTGCAGATTGTAGATGTCTAACAGTCAAGAGCACAGGCGTGTGACAACACGCCAAGCTGCGTCAAAAAATCTCCTTGTTTCTATTCAACTCCTGCAGAGCCAGTCAATTAGAGGAACTCTACTGACCATGTGAGGACAGTAAACAAACCTGTAGGGTGCATTTTGATTTAAACCACTCACACTGGAGCCTGATCTTTACATTTGTCTTATTTATCAGCAGCAGAGCGCCTCACAGCTGGTTTACGATAGTAATGGACAATAATTCAATATCGATATAGATCGCAATAGGGACGTTTAAATACCGATGATATACCTTTTAAAGAAATTCGATCGATATACGTTACATCAGCAGGGGTTGACATAAGGACAGCAGACAACCTGTTGACAAAATCTGGTTGTCTGCCAAAATCTTTGGTTGGCCTTTGGAAAAAGTCTAAAGAATTTTGAAATTCTCAAGAAAAATGTATTTAATATTTTTTGTTCTATTTATATTGTGTAGACATAGTTTACTTGTACAAATGTTTCAGGAGCTGCTTGAGTAGAACTTCCTCATTCTCCTCCTCATCCTCTTCTTTGTCATCAGACTTCACAAAGAGAGGCACACAGAGTATTTAGCAAACCTCAAGCAGCTCTGTTTGTGATGTGGGTGGAGAAAAGGCTTCCTCTGCATCACTCTCCCATACAGCATCTCCTTGTGTAAAGTGTGCTGAATAGTTGAACGATGCACAGTGACTCCATCAGCAGCAAGATGATGTTGTAGGTCTTTGGTGCTGGTCTGTGGGTTGACTCTGACTGTTCTCAACATCCTTCACTTCTGTTTATTCCAGATTTTTCTTAGTCTGCCACTTCGATCCTTGACTTGAACTGTGCCTGTGGTCTTTCTCACAATGTTTCTCACAGTGGAGACTGAAAGCTGAAATCTCTGAGATAGCTTTCTGTATCCTTCCCCTAAACCATGATGGTGAACAATCTTTGTTTTCAGCTCATTTGAAAGTTTTTTTCAGACTCCAATGCTGCGACTCTTCAGAGAAGATGCAAAGAGGAGAAAAACCTACAATTGCCTCCCTTAAATACCCTTTCTCATAATTGGAGTCACCTGTGTATGGAGGTCAAGGGTCACCGAACTTACCAAACCAAATTTGAGTTCCAATAATTAGTTCTAAAGGTTTTAAAATCAATAAAATGACAACAGTGCCCAAATTTATGCACCTGCCTAATTTTGTCTAAGCATTTATTGCACACTTTCTGTAAATCATATAAACTTCATTTCACTTGTCAAATATCACTATTTGTCCCATATATGATATACAGTATTACTGATTTTTTTTTATCTAAACAATCAATGATTTATAAAAGGTAAATAAGGAAAATTAACAAGGCTGCCCAAACTTTTGCACCCCACTGTAACAACTAGGATCCAAACACATTAACGTTTAATAATAAAAAGATTTCAGACTCTGAAGTCCTGGGCTGGTCGGAGGCACGCTGCAAGTGGAGATTCAGCGGCTGCGGTCAGGTTGCCTCTAAGCCCCTGCTTTGAAAACAACAGTCAGGTGATCTCTAAAGGTTTTTTTTTTTTTGTATGTGTGAACACACAAAGTTACGATGGAAAGGTGCTTTCAAAAATATAATATACTGTATATAAAATACATAACCCTTTGTGGAAAATATTCAGAGAAACTTTGACAAAATTCCCAGGAACAGGCATCTGCCCTCTGAGTCGAGGCTGCAGCTCCTTACACCAGCTGTCAGTCAGACAGCACGACCCACCCTGCTCTGCCCTGATTGGGTAAAACTTTGTGGTTCTTTCTATTGGTTGAAAGAATTGTCAGTTTAGAATCTAGATGGTTTAATAAGTTTATTTCCCTTTCCTTTTTACAAATTACGATTAATTGTCGTGCAGGTGAACTTTAATTTACATCTTTTTTTTCCTTGGTTGTCCACAGGACAAACAGGATCTGGTTGTCCAAAACAAAAATAGATTCTCCCAGACAACCTAAATAACACTTATGTTGACCCCTGCATCAGTGCATGATGATGTACACCACAGGCTCAATGCCAGTGCACAGCGCTAATTCTCTGTTTAGACTACGCTAACAACACTACGTACAAAATGGTGGATATCTGTACCAGAATGAGCTCAACAGCTGTGAGTGACCAAGCATACACAGTTGGAAAAAAAAATGCAGAAGAAATAGTTAAGACAGAAATGACTACTTTGAATCAGTGGTGGAGCTAGTTCGGGTATTTGAGGTCTGATAAACTTCTGCTTTCAGTCTGCTATAAAATGTGCTGGAGAGTCTGGTACCAACTCGTAGCTGTGGTTCATATTCTGCATCACCAGCACTGACACGTTACGTGTGCAAGCCTTTCTTTTTTGGCGTAACCCCTCCCCAATGTCCAATTCCCTAAGGGAAACACTGCGATATAAAATATAAATTTAGCCGTATCATCCAGCCCCAGTTCATAACAACAAATGTTTTACACCATTATTCAGAAATTCTGACAGAAAAGCAGTACATCATTAGTAGCCCTCTACAGACCTTGATTGCATACCGAGGAAGCCTATTAATTAAGCCCACCTTAGGTTCAGCTGTGTTGAACCAGGGCAGCTCCAAAAACATGCAGGACACCGGCCCTCGAGGACCGACTTTGGACACCACTGCTTTAGAGCTTTCCCAGGCATTTTCCATTGAGGAGAGATTCTGCGGTCAGAGTCAGAGCTCACCAGAGTTCACTTTTGAGTTCTTGGCTACCCCAAGAGGAGCTGGAGAGTGTCACTGGGGAGAACTATGTCTTAGTTTCTGGAGCAGTAAAGTTTCTGGGAGTTTACAGGAGCATTTAAAACATCTCCATCTCTTGCCACTTCTCCAAAGTCTGGTCGCAGAGTCAGCAGGTCCACGAGAGAAACCGAGACATCTCCCCAGCAATACTTTCCAGCTCGTCCTGGAAAGGCCGTCAAGGCATTCCCAGGCCAGAGAAAATAAATAAATAATAATGTGAGAGAAAATAAGTAATCCCTGAAGCCTCTAACCTTTACGAGACTAGGAGCTACTTCAGGCGTACCGAGTAACATGAAGGGCTACTTGTTTGATACAAACATAAATTTGCACGGCTCCCCTTTAATTATAGTATAATTAATAATAAATTTATACATGTAAATATTTGACTCCCTGATTAAATCTCAATGTTAAAGACTCCTCATGGTAATCATAATTTACTGTAGTAGATATGGTAAATTATTATTAATAAGTGATTTAAACTTTGGGCAGCAGCAGGGGGATCCGATTCTAGAGTTCCCAGTTTGAAACCCTTTCGGAGCTCTTCAATGTGACTGAAGTGTGGATAGTTGTGTGTCCCTGTCTGAGATCTGAGAAGGGCTCCAGCTCCCACCCTGACCCAGATTAAGAACAAGGACAGAATGGATGGATTTTTTATAGCAGAAAACAGTTACTTAAACCTAAAACACTTTTATTTAATCTGAATTAATAACATTTATAATTTTGTGTATTTTTTAAATATAAAAAAATAAAATGATAAAAATATTTGACAGCTTGTAGGAATGAACACATTTGTAACATTTATTTAAAATACACCTGTTTAAAAAAACAGGTGTAGTCTTTTTAAGAAAATGGTAACTTTATCATTTTCAAAGAAACTTTTACCAATAAAACAGTTACATGTAACTCATGCCCTTTG